TTTCCAGTACCAGTGTAACTTTGGATAGTTAAATGCTAAGTGAATGGTTGTTAGGTGAAAACTCCCTGTTTTCTTTTTTCCGCAACAGAAATCTCTGTTTTAATCCCACCATTTTCTCAGGAACTTTGAGAACTGATTTAAACATTTCTCTCAGTTACGCTTCTGGACCCACTTTGCTGTTGGAGGAGGTGCTACTGCTGGTGCTTTCTACTCCACATCCTAATAGCAACAGTCAGTACAGGTAGTCCTCAGCTTACAACAGTTCGTTTAGTGACCGTTCAAAGTTACAACAGCACTGAAAAAAGTGACTTATGACCGTTTTTCACACACAGACCGCTGCAGCATCCCCGTGGTCACGTGATCAAAATGCTTAACAACTGACTCATGTTTATGGCGGTTGCGGCGTCCCGGGGTCATGTGATCCCCTTTTGCGACCTTCTGACAAGCAAAGCCAATGGGGGAGCCACTTAACAACCGGGTAAAAAACTTATCAACTGCAGTGATTCACTTAACAACTGAGGCAAGGAAGGTCGTAAAATGGGGCAAAACTTGCCAAACGAATGTCTCACTTAACGACAGAAAATTTGGGCTCAGCTGGGGTCGTAAGTTGAGGACTCCCCGTAGTGTTTCCCAATCCGAAAGAACTCACATCACCTCTTGATGTAAGTTGGAAGAGAAGTATGGGAAGCCAGAGAGGCTGCAGGTGACTCAAGAGATGAGTATGCAATGAAATGAGATCTCCGCGTTCATTCTTGGCCATCTTAGCATTACACATCAGGGCAAGCGCAACACAACCTGCCCTTAAGAAGTTCACCCAAATTCTCTTCTCCTTTGGAAGAAATTCCAGTGCAAATTCTTTTGCATCAACATGGAAGGAGAACTGGGAGAAAAAAAATTAAGGCAGAAGACTGTTTCTCTACTGCTCTGCTTTAAAGTAGGCCCCAGTTCCATCTCTTTAGCCAACAACGAGTTTTATGTGATTACCCAACTGGGTAAAATAGCACCAAAGAGGTTACCTGGTTGGGACTTGAAATGCCTGCAAGAAATCAACCATGCTCTGAAAGCACCAAGGATCGTATGGTCTTATTTTGTATTTCCTATAGCAGTGGTGGTGAACTTATGGCACGGGTGCCAGAGGCGGCACTCAGAGCCCTCTCTGTGGGCACGTGCACCGTCGCCCCTAGGCCTTCAGCTGCATTTTATAAAACCTTTTCGCTTTAGGCCTTCGCTGCCGTGTGCAAAAAAAAATAAAAAAAAATGGTTCAATCAATCAGTCAATTTCAATTTCTCGCGGGGAAAAAAAAGATCTTGCAAAGTTGAAATTGATTGAACTTTTTAGTCCCACCCAGTCTGCCTTTACCACCGCAGCCACGTCCACCCAATGGGCCACCCCCTCCCCAATTGGCCACATCCAGCCAATGGGCCACACCCACCCGGCACCCGACGATGCATAAGTGGGTTTTGGGTTGCAGTTTGGGCACTCGGTCTCTAAAAGGTTCGCCATCACTGTCCTATAGCAATAAGACAGCTTTCAAAATCGTGTGTACAGTAATGGGCTACTGAACAAGAAATACAAAGGAGAAGAGAAATGAAACCAAGGAGATCATCTTGGCTCCATCATTTCTCTGGAAGGAGAAACTGTGACTCTCAAAGAAAAGTCACCTTCCCTTCATTAACACCCAGCTTCCTTTGGAAAACTCTTTTGCAGCTGCCAAATTAAGCAGATGGGGGAAACCCTTTTAGAGGTTGAAGAGAGAAATTTTCAGAAGCCAGATCCAGGCGGTGACTTTGGCAGAAAGGAATGCACGATGGCTATCTATCCGCTTCCAAACAAGAGAGGCAGTGTAATACCACAAAAGAAGAGGACAAAACTTACACGTTTCCTTTGCACAATTCTACGCACCAAGGTAAAAATGCTGCTATGATTTAAATAGAAAGGCAATCCACCATGCATGTCTTTCACTGCACTGTCTCAGTACTAAGAGTTTAGGGTCCTAGTGTATCTTATGAATGGTTCTTTAATCCTTAAATTTAGATAGGAAAATATGCTCAGTGCAAGATGCATTCAGGTGGAGGATTGTCAATGTAATTGCATGATGACCTTTAATTACTGTGGGAGGAGAGGATCATCTCCACTCTTAATCTCTACATCAGTGTTTATCAATCTTGGAAACTTGACGATATGTGGCCTTCCACTTCCAGAATTCTGGAATTCTGGGAATTGAAATCCACACATCTTCAAGCTGGCAAGGCTGAGAAACATTACTCTACATATTGCAGCATGCCTTATTCTGCAGAAAACCTACATACCGAATTTTGAAGTTCCGTAGCATGGAATTTTGGAAGCTAAGGATGCATGTATAGGAGCCTGCTTGCATTTTAGAGAAAGCAAATCGGTTTTGGATGAAGTGAACCAGTGGAGAACAGTGGGGAAGCCAGGAAAAATGTACCGATTTGTTCTTTTAAACAAGAAATATATCATTGTACAACATGGACGTTTTGCTGATGGTGCCCCTAAATTGGGAGTTTTCCAAGCTGCAAAGGGGCATTCGTTATTTAATAGGTTATTGTGGGCATTAGCAGGAGGGGAACATATAACATGTGCATGACTTTGAGATTTCCTGGTTGCAAGGACAAAATCATGGTGTTTGCATGATTACATCATTGCATTTATGTACCACCATTTTGGCTGCATCAATGCAGTTGAATCCAGATGCTACTTTGTCCAATGCCTCAGGAGTTCTTCAGAAGCAGTGCTTTGGAGCATGTGGGACACCAATGTAGCACTGATTTGTCAAGTTGTCTTGTCCCAGTTTACGTAATTGTCCTCTGCAGCCATCATGCATCTCTGGAAAAGATACAGCTGCTTTAAAGAGCTGTAGATAAGTGAAGCACCTGCCCCATTGTCTGCACGATGTGATTGAAAAAATCAAAATGGTGGGCATGGCATACCGAAAAAAACAAGAGGAGCTTTGGTCACACCGTTATGGCCATCATCTTGACTTTTTTGACCATACCCTGCAGATTTTCCTGGTGCCATTAAAACAGTTGTTCTCTTTACATGATTCCTCTCATGTTTAACTCTCATAAATGATAATACATACACACACACAAACATTTTACTCTTCTATGAAGCTGTAGATAGGTTAGTATAAAGGCAAAGCTACCAAGATTGTTGTGTGGTCTTTCCAGGCAGAGACCAACGTGATTGAATTAATTGTTTAAAGAAATTGTAATCATGGCTTTTGAAATCTGTTGCTGATTATTGTATAAATGTTACTAGTATTTTTCCAAAGCATAACTGCTTTCTTCAAAATGGAATAAGCCATTTCTGCTACATCTGAGAGTGATCCAGCTCATTCTGCTAAATGGATCCTGAATGCTGAGGTTCCCCTCCATTGCACATATCTTGACAGAGGACACCCCACACCCCACAAATGACTCACAATGGATCCAGTTGGGCTTTTCATTTATTGCAACTTCGACGTATCCTTGCATCTGGCAAGGTTTGCTACCCAAATAGACAACTGTGGATGGAGACAGAAGGATACATAGTAAAGAGAAGGAGAATGCAGAGTAAAGGAGCATATTTGGATCCATGCTAGCATAAACTTTTCAAACTTAACAAACACTTTAACTTAAAACATAGCTTCTTCCTCTATCTTCTGCACATTTTTGACCTTAATCATTTATTTTTATAGGTAATCCTTGTTTTATAACTGCCTCATACACATGGACTGTTTGCACTCACAACTGTGATGAAAAAGTAAATTTGCAACCAATCCTGTAGGAAATGACCAGGCTGAACTAGAGGGTGGGGTCAAATATATTATCAGTTTGGAATCTGATTCAGAATAAGAGTTGGAAGGGACCTTGGAGGTCTTCTAGTCAAACTCCCTGCTCAAGCACGAGATCCTATACCAATTCAGACAAATCTTTTCTTCAAAACCTCCAGTGTTGGTGCACCTACAATGTCTGGAGGCAAGTCGTTCCAATGATTAATTGTTCTAACTGTCATGAAATTTCTCCTTAGTTCTAGGCTGGATCTCTCCTTGATGCTCCATAAGAGACATCAGTCCAGCCTCTCCCCCCAAAGTCCATTGATTCTTGTCTGTCGCCAATTTGTGTAGTACAGAATCAGCAGATCAGATTTTTCTGAATAGGTAGCGTGAAATAAACTTAAAGTACTTTTCAACTCTATCCTGGCTTCTGACGTCTTGCATCTGATAGTTCTCTCATTTCCTACCTTTTGACGCCTGTAAAGCTGAAGCAAGATGGCAGTTTCATTTAGTTACTGCTTGGCTTAACGAGTGAAGGGCCAGTCCAAGTTCTGGTAGCTAAATGAGGACTACCTCCTTTAAAGCAGTGTTTCTCAATCTTGGCATTTGCAAAATCTGTGGACTTCAACTCCCAGAATTCGCCAGCCTTCATATCAAGCCGCATGCTGTACCACATCAGAGGGAACAAATGCTGCCCAGCAATGCACACAGAGATAGTAAACTCCAATTGATTCAAGCCAGTTAACCAAAGTGCATTTGGATGCTATTCAAACAAGAGTTTAGTTTAAACTATTGTTCGGCCAAGGTTTTGCCCAAAATGTTGCTGTTGCTTACTAAAGAAGTAGGGAAGTCCATAAACTATGGTTCAATAAAAATCAAAATACGGAGAGAGGAGAATATCTCCAGCTCAGGGCTGAACCGTGAGGGTTTTGTTGCTCTCTGAGCTTTTCTTGCCGATGTTTCATTATCAAAGTAGGCAACAGGTGAACCATTGATGTTACCTAGTTGGGTAATGAAATGTCTGCAAGAGCACCTGCCAAGCTCAGAGAGCACCAAAGACCCCCCAAAATCAAAATGGTGACCACAGTCATGTAATTGAAACTCAACCTGTTTTTTTTTTTACATAATGCAAATGAAAAATAGGCAGAACTTTGATCACGCTGTCACAGCCATTTTTAAACTATACTCTGTGGACGCCTCATAAGTAACCAAAGCTCTTACCTTGAATCTGGCTCTGAGCTTGTGTACCAAAGTGCCCTGGGGCACCCAGGGACCCCCGAGAATTGGCGGTCGTCGGAGTGACCCTCATAGAGTGCCGAAGCCTTTCCAGGTCTCCATAACGATCTTGGAATTTCGTTTGTTCTTCCAATTTCTGCCTGTGCCCTGAAAAAAGCAGGGGAGGAGGGAATAAATCAGAAAACATATTCAGGGTCAGCTCAGAGAACTCCAGAAAAGGTGCATGGAGGTAGTCCTCAACTAATGACCGCAATTGAGCCCAAAATTTCCATTGCTATGCAAGGCAGTTGTTAAGTGAGTTTTGCCCTGTCACCGAAGTTCTTAAGTGAATCATGCCGTTGTTAAGCGAATCTGGCTTCCCCCATTGACCTTGCTTGTTGGAAGCCAACTGGGAAGGCTGCAAATGGGCCCTGCCACCCTTGTAAATACATCCCAGTTGCCAAGCACCAGCATTCTGATCAGGTGACCATGTGGATGTTGTGAAGGTTAAGTATAAGGACTGGCCACAAATGATGTTGTAACTTTGGACAGTTTTTATCAATTATGAATCAGAATACAGCTGGAAGACATCTTGGAGGTCTTCTAATCCAGCCCCTTGCTCAAGTAGGAGACCCCGTAGACCAGGGGTAGGCAACTTTGGCTGGCTCAGGAATTCTGGGAGTTGAAGTCCATGAGTCATAAAATAGCCAAAGTTGCCTACCCCTGCCATAGACCATTTCAGACAAATGGCTGTCCAGTCTCTTCTTAAAAACTTCCAGTGTTGGAGCATTCACCGCTTCTGGAGGCAGGTTGTTCCACTGGTTAATTGTCCTCACTGTTAGGAAGTTTCTCCTTAATTCCAGGTTGTTTCTCTCCTTGATTATTTTCCATCCATTGCTTCTTGTCCTGCCTTGTGGTGCTTTGGAGAATAATTTTACCCCCCTCTTCTTTGTGGGAGCCCCTCAAATATTGGAATACTGCTATCGTCACCCCTACTCCTTCTTTTCTCTAGACTAGCCATTCCCAAATCCTGCAACCGTTCTTCATATGTTTTTGTCTCCAGGCCCTTAATCATCTTAGTTGCACTTCTCTGCACTTTTTCCAAAGTCTCAACATCTTTTTTTGTAATAATGGGGTGACCAAAACTGCTAAGCAAATGGTTTTAAATCAACAACTACCTGTACTATCTAGTCTAGTACAATCACCAACTGAGAGTTTAATAGGTGGGTGTGGATTTGAACTCAGGTCTCTGCAATCTGCTTCCAACTCTCTAACCGTGATACCACACCATGGCCCTTCATAGGATGCAAGAAACGGAGGGCCTAGGCCAGTGGTGGCGGCACTCAGAGCCCTCTCTGTGGGCACGCACGCCGTCACCCCAGCCCCACCTCCCCCCGTGTCCCCCTCATCAGCAGCCCCCCCTGAGAAGAGTTGCCCCCGGGCGTGGCATGCGTGGAGCAGCACAGCCAAGGACATGGCAGCTGGGCAGCGGGGACAAGACTCCGCCCTCATGCCTCGTCGCATGCAGATGTTGTTGCGGGGCGTGGGCAGAGGGCGTGGCTGCCATGGCGCTGCTGGACCACCCGGGCGATCTGCGGGTGGCCTGGCGGGATGGGGCAGGGGCAGAGCGGGGGGGCAGGGCAGTTTTTGGGCACTCGGTCTCTAAAAGGTTCGCCATCACTGGCCTAGGCTCCTGGAGGCATCTTGTTGGTTCAACACCGCTGCGTTACTTGTTGAATGACTTTCATAACGTCAACCAAGTTCTATTTTTGCTTCCCTTATTGCACGCGATACCTGCATCCCTTGCAAGACGCAGCTTGTGAAAACTATCCCTGGAAGTGTCCCAAGCCAAAGAAATGTGGCAAAAAAAAAAGTCCCATTTGGCCCTGGGCCATGTATTTGTGGTGAGGGGAATTCCCTCGGAGAGAAATCCTTGCAAAACAGCTGCTGCAGTCTAGGCAGCCCAATCAACACTGTGTAACAGAATTAATCTCCAGGGCCTTTCTGATATCGCAGTTAAGGCTTTAGACTGGGGGGATCCATGACAAAGCCCACCTTCTCTGTGGAAGTTTACTGGGAGACCCTGGACCAGACATTCTTTCTCAATCCAGCCTACTCACAGGGTTGTTGTTTGGGGGAGAAACTGCAGGAGGCTGTTTGCAGCTTTTTGCTCCTGCTCACAAGGAATAAATAAGTGCATGCATTCTCTTCAGTTATTTTTTTTATACATCTTTATTCTCTATTTACAGCTAGTCCTTTACTCACAACATTCATTTAGTGACCTTTCTCAGTTACAACAGCAATGGAAAAGTGACTTATGGCTGGTTTTCACACTTACGGCCGTTGCAGCATCCCCAGGGTCCCATGATAAAAATTCAGGCACTTGGCAAGTGGCATGTATTTATGACCGTTGCTGAACTATGCTGGGATCATCTGATCACCATTTGTAACCTTCCCAGCATTTGAAATGTGGATTTACAGGTGGCTGTTACGTATAAGCTGGGTTGACAAGATCAGAAATGAGGAGGTGATAAGCCGCCTGGGAAAGCCAAGGGAAATCATCAAAACAATTAAAAAACGAAAATTAGAATATTTTGGACATGTGATGCGACACCCAGAAAAATACGGCATACTCCATTTAATCCTCCAGGGAAAGATGGAAGGCAAACGAGGTCCAGGCAGAAGAAGAACATCGTGGTTTCAAAATCTAAGGGGCTGGTTTGGACAAAACTCAGCAGCAGTTTTTCGTGCAGCTGCTGATAAAAACAGGATCGCCAACATGATCGCCAACGTCCGATAACAGATATGGCAGAAGAAGAAAAATAAGAACCTTTCCAGCTGGCTTCTGAAAAGCAAAGTCAATGGGGTAAGCCAGACTTGTTCAAAATTCACTTAACAACTGCAGTGGTTTGCTTAACAACGGTGGCAAAACAGGTCGAAAATGTGGCAAAACCCACCTAAAGATTGTCTTGCTTAGCAATTGAAATGTTAGGCTTAATTGTGATTGTTAAGTTGAGCACTACCTGCACCAACTCTGAGCCTCTTCCTCGGAGTTATTTGTTTTTGGCTTTTAAATTTCCCTCCCAAAAGCCAAGTTCCTTCTTCCGAGTTCTACTTTTAAACTGCCCGTCGTTCTGTGACTTTGACTTTGTTTTTGCTTCAAAAACTTCCTTTTGGTCTTTAAGCTCCAAGTTATGGGCACCATTGTACGTATATGGATGAAAACCAGTGAAGGAGAGGACCAACCTAGATCTAAGGAGAAATGTCCTTTTCAAAAGGCAACTGGACTTTCTTTGTTTCTCCTTGAAGATGTTTCACTTTTCAACCAAGAAGCTTCTTGGAAAAACACCTTTGGGACAACCATGACTGGATGACTTAGCCCAGTGATGGCGAACCTTTTAGAGACCGAGTGCCCAAACTGCAACCCAAAACCCACATGCATCATCAGGTGCCGGGTGGGTGTGGCCATTGGGTGGGTGTGGCTGCAGTGGTAACGGCAGACTGGGTGGGACTAAAAAGTTCAATCAATCAATTCCAACTTTGCAAGATCTTTTTTTTTCCCGCAAGAAGTTGAAATTGACTGATTGACTGAACCTTTTTTTTTTTGCACACGGAGGCGGAGGCCTAAAGCGAAAAGGTTTTATAAAACCCAGCTGAAGGCCTAGGACTGTGGCGACGGCGCGCGTGCCCACAGAGAGGGCTCTGAGTGCTGCCTCTGGCACCCGTGCCATGGGTTCGCCACCACTGACTTAGACCATCCAACTCTGTTATTCTGTATAAGCCAGTGATGGCGAACCTTTTAGAGACCAAGTGCCCAAACTGCAACCCAAAACCCACTTATGCATCATCAAGTGCCGGGTGGGTGTGGCCAATTGGGTGGGTGTGGCCCATTGGGGGTGTGGCTGCAGTGGTAACGGCAGACTGGGTGGGACTAAAAAGTTCAATTAATCAATTCCAACTTTGCAAGAACTTATTTTCCCGCGAGAAGTTGAAATTGACTGATTGAACCAATTTTTTTTTTTTGACCTGGCGGCGGAGGCCTAAAGCAAAAAGGTTTTATATAACCCAGCTGAAGGCCTAGGACTGGGGCGACGGCGCGCGTGCCCACAGAGATGGCTCTGAGTGCCGCCTCTGACACCCGTGCCATAGGTTCGCCACCACTGGTATAAGCCATTCTACTTCCAGTCTGTTCAAAGAAGGCAGAACAGTCAGCAAAGAAACTCTGCTGGCTAAAACAGCCAAGAAGCTACTGAATTTCTTCTCTTGACAGCCACCAGTGGAGTTCCAAAGGAAGGCAGCCAGTATTTTCAGAGTCTTCCCCCCCCCCCTCCAACAACACAAGGCAAGCATGTTGGCTCCCCTTGCCCCAACATCCCTTAAGAAGATCTGTATCGCTACGACATCAAATGGCTGAAATGTTTTCCATCTGGAAGGATGGATATGAATCTGATACGGCAAGCCCTAATAAAAAACATGCTGGTCCTTTGGGGCAATGTGGAGACACGGAGAATGCAACATCCGATGCTGGAAAGATACCTTTCAACGAGAGGTGGGGGGGGGAAGCAGATCTTGATCTACTGTACATTGTTCAATCTCCTGGAGATCCATCTTAGATTACAAAGGTTGCCTGGTGTCCAGGGGCTAACGAGAGCAATGACGAATCGACCACCGATTCTATTTTCCCCACATCCTTGCTCCCTAAGGTGGGAAAGGATTAAGGGGACACCCCCCCTCCCCAGAAGCCAGCAAGATAATTTCTTTCCAAAAACTCCTCTCTTTTTCTCTCTTTTCCACCTGAGTGGAACCATAAAACAAAATACCAGGTCATATAATTATGGTGTATCGTGGTGTGCCCTGAGCCTCCTGCTCTGTTTTTAAAGAAACCTCAGAATGAGTTGTCAACCCACTGCAGCCGAGCAGAGCACAATTTTCTTATAGGATTGTGCAAAGCTTTGGATCGGATGCCCCAGAGATATCTGAAGCACAACGGGGTGTGTGTGAAAATCGCACTGGTCTGCATCTTGGCTGCAGGCTGGAAGGTGTGTTTGTGCTCTGAAGGGCTGCATCATTTCTTCATTTTCATTTCGTTTCTCTTCTCTGACCCTGGGCTGGATAATATACGGAAGAGTTTGTAGTAGTATTACTGCCTGCACATTTTCAACTAGCCT